GTGAAACACGCGACTGCTAATTCTGCGCTGTTCTTCCCCTGTCCAGGTTGGAGAGGAAGAAAGCATTGCTCCTGAAGTGCAAGGAGTGCCACCTAATGGCCTGTTGAAGAATCCCAAAGCTCCACACAGCCTGGTCTTTCCATATACACGAGTACAGGAAACCACCCACCCACAAAAAGTCTCTTTTATGGCCTGTCTACCCCTAAACTACGCTTTAAGGGTAATTTAATAGAGAGTCTTTACATTCATGTACAAGCAACTGTTTCTTTAAGCTTAAGACTTCAAAACAGCTGTAATAATCCAGATGCAAGTAAGAACTTTGGTACTGGATTTGGAAGGCAAAATGAATGAATGCTGGAAGCAGCCGAGGGAGAGTGGCTGTTTCACTTCTGGCATTACTGTGTCAGGCAGTAACCATCAGATGCTCATAGGGGAATTCAGGTCAGACGGAACCTCAGGAGGTCACCCAGTCCAACCTCTCAGTGGCCTTTCAACTTAAGGTGGCAAAATGCCACAGCCGATGCACCAACACCGTGTTCAAGGATGGCCAGCTCCAGCAGCAATGAAGCAAAGGGCTGTGGTGGCAGCCTGCCATTACCATGAATTGCTCCAACCCATTCAGAAGAGATGCCCATCTCGCTTTTTCTGAGACTTTCATGCTCTTACACTTCAGTGCAATGTAACTTGCTTTACTGTAAGGATGTGTTGGGATGCTGCGCATATAGAGAATGCAACAGAACTGAGGGGCTCCAGGTGAACACCCGAGGAAGAAGAAAAATCCTTACATGCCATTTGTTCTACAGCACATCTTGCTGCTGCAGCAAGAGAAGCTTGACATGGGAATGGCTACTTCGCATTTCAGGAATTGGTCACTGGTTGTCCAGCTAGAAGCCTTTGATTTGGTAACGCATTACCCAGTATCCTTTACTACTACCGCTGGTACAGGGGCAGGTAGCACAGCATAGCATAAGCCCTTCTGTCGGTTGTTCCAAATACAGACGTAGCCCTTCTTTTCAAAAAATGTTCCTAGAAAGAGGACTCAGGTAACCAATTCCTACAGAGCTTGAGCGGCAGCACCTTCCCTGCCCGAGCAGCATACTTCCACCCAGGCATGAACAGGCTGCTCATCAGCTTACACACAGGAATCAGGGCTGAACTTGCTGTACGAAGGCACCTCCCCTGCCACCCAGATACCCCAATTGAATACATATAGCGGCTGGACTACTGGAGATGGTGTAGAGGAATGGAACATTATCACTTTTAGAACATGTTCTAAAGCAGACTATTTCTATTACACAACTTCTCCAAATAAACTGATTTATTTTTATTAGTCCAGACTAAAACACTGCTCCCACTTCCTTCATCAGAACTCATAAAGTATTAGGAAAACTTCCTAGGTAACGTTACCCTAAAACACATACTTGTAAATATTTTACCTTCAAGATTTCTTGCCCGATGACCAGTTTCAAGGCAACTCAAGAGCAGCCTCTGTCATAATAACGAATAGCTAAGTAACCCCCAGTTAGGGAGTTTAACCTCTAGAAATGTTACCCGAATCCTTCTGAGCAATTCCAGGAGATCACCACAGAATGAGATTGCTTTCTGCCTTTAGTTTGCAGAACCCATCTGTTGGCCTCTCACACCCCATTTGTCTCAGAAGTCAATATATTAGCTCACGTCTTAGATTTCCAGTCAGGCAACTTATTTTGTAGTTCAGCGAAGCACGTTTGTTCAAGATTCATTGCTAGTTTATGTTGTTATAGACAGTGTCTAAACTTGTTCAGGACAAAGTCAACCGATACAGAAGATGAAATTTCCTCACCTTTAACCCAAATTTACCAGATTTTTTTAAAACATACTGGTAGCCGTTGTTGTAATTGTGGGAAGGGCACTGAATTCAAGAACAGACTCTTACAGAAACAGCATTCACAGTAACATAGGCGAAAAAACAAGGCCATGACCTGTTAATAATAGCCTGCAAGAGGTAGCGATTGCCGAGCCTATCCGCCCAGCTCTTTGTCACCTTTATCACTGTATGAAAGACCTTGGCATCCTAATACTTCATTGTAAAAACATGCATGGGCAAAGGTGATGTTTTCTCACAGCTGGTCCAGAACTGCACAATTGTTTGGAAAACAGACCTATTTTAGGACACTTGTGCATTTGAGACGGGACTTGCCTATTGCCGAAGTTCCCCCCGCAGCAGGCTATACCATCCACTGAATGCTACAGGTCAGCTCCCACCTTTGTTTTCTATTTGTTGTTCACATTAACACTGTTGATGTAAAAGAAAACATTAGGAAAAAAAACCCATTTCAATACAAAAATGTGTTTAACAGTACTCTCCATCCTCCCTTCCTGAAGCATCCTCTTACCAGTTGTAGTGGGAAAAACATACCAGGAGACTGATGGGAACAATAGCAAGGGAAATACCTCTCAAAAAACACTTCATGATGCGAGAGACCACTTGTGAGGTGCATCTAGCCCTCATCTTAAAAAACATATGGTAGTGCAAATTCTTCTGAGTAGTACTGTCAAGTACTACATCAGGTTTCACTGCGAACACAGATACTGCAGTTTTAAGAAGGAAGTATGGAAAATTAGCATGTCACATCAAGATTTAAAATCACTATTTGTAAAATTTTCCACAGAAATGCAATAAAAGTGAAACTAAGTACATGATGGAGAAAGCAGAGGTTGATGCAGTCTGTATTTACCCAACCCAGTTTTTACAGGGGAATTTAAAACAGAAAAGTGTTAATAGAGAAAGGATCTATTAAACCAGACTGTTATTAGATATACAGGTGAGCCCACTGGTGAGTAACGCAAGGTGGCCACAACTGCCATGTGAAACCCAGGCTTAATGAAAATACAAAATTCAGTATCAATTTATTCAGAACATGCAAGAATAATCTGATTCATATTAAACATTTTAAAAAAATACACCAATGTTTAGAAAGAGTAAAAGTATCATCTGCCAAATTCCATTGCACGTCAGTTTATTTCCCTAATTTCAAAAGGGAGCAGCAATTAATTAATTATATAAAGGCAAACGTATGTGCATCTGAGGCTATTACAGCCATTTAAAGTTGTAGAAACAGCATAATTATTTCTTTTTTTAAACAAAAATATTTATAATCAGTTTTACAAGTAAGGAGTCAAGCTGTTAAGTGTTCAAACCAGTTAAATACTTCCAGTGCAGCAAGAAAGCTGTTAACATTTCAGAAAGTTTATACAGAAAAATCATCTGCTCAGCCTTCATAACTTTTCACAGCACAATGGTTTTAGTACTCAACTGACTGGCTTGTCAAATACTAACCGCCAAGCTGGCTGGCTGGCTTCTAGTCTTTACCAGTATTGCTACCAATATTCCTCACAACTTTGACTTTTATCGGCGTATGAGGGTCAGCAACTAATGGACATCATACCTACATCCTAAAAACTAGTGAACTTTCAACAGAGTTTGTGCAAACCATCAGAAAAAGTGAGTGCAGAGTCCACTTGGGATCCTGGACCAAAAGACAAACGTAAGACTGAAGTTTGTAAGCTTCTATTTGACCATTCCAACCATTAACAGATTAGCTAGCTTTCAAATCTTTTCTGAAAACAAGCTCCTCAAATTATTTTTGGTGGTTTTTTTTTTTCACTGAGCCCTTAAGTGTAGGGCCTTTTCCTCATCTGCCAAGTGTCTTGTGCTCGATTTCCTAGCACCTTCAGCGCCCTTCTAGAATTTTTCTTTTCCTGCTACAATCCACCCATTAAGTCCAAATGGATCCTTTGCCATGTTCTTGACACCTATGCCTCTCCCATCTTTCACAAAAGCCCATATTTGAGATTCTCACACTCATTCATCTTTTCAAAGGAGGTCACAGGTGAGAAGGACCACCTGAGATTGTAATTGTGGCTCATTCAAAATATTTACTATTCTAAAAATAAACGCCACTTAATTATGTTGCAGGGAACAGAAGAATCTTTATCCATTATAGGTGGTTAAGAATGGCCAAAAAAAAAAAAAAGCCAACACAAAGGGGTCTTAAGAACAAAGACAAATTAGCAAGATTAAAAACGTCTTGATTTTAAAAACTGCCTTGAAAATACGCAGTTCGGCAAGTACCTGCCTTCTCTTGTATAACCTGGATTCTGCAGCAAGAACCTTGGCACAAACACCCACCTACTGAAACTTGAGCATTCGAGTCTTTGGAACCCAAGTAGCAGCTAGCATCCTAGTCAGCGCTGACCTGCAGCGCCACAAAACTTGTTGTTCATCAGGCTGACAGTTTACATTCCAGGTCAGAACAGGTACACAGGGAAGTAACCACAGCTAAGCAAACCCTGAGCAAAGTAGTTTTCAAGCAATGTTTTCAGATCGGGTTTATCTTTTTGAGACAGCTTTCTGAAAGGTTTTATGCAAGACAAGAATCAAGGTGTTCATTTATTTTAGACTCCAAAACCTCCGTCTGGCAAACAGGACAATTGACTTTTTTGTCCTGCCTTACAGCAGGGCTGGAACTTGCAGAGGACAGTGTCGATTCAGCTTCGGTTTTCATAGGTGTATTTATACTTAAAGTGACATCAGGACGCCCTTTTTTAATGAAATAGTTTTCAAAGGCAGTTTTGTCCTCCATTTTTGGCCATTGCTGCAGCACATTAGTACATTCTGAGCTTTTTTTCTCATATGCAGCCTGAGCTGTTGCTGTCTGCTCAAAACAAATTTGTTTTGGTGGCCTGTTACAAGGCGGCATAACCCTCTTGCCCTTTGCAGAACCTTCGTTTGATTTTTCTTCCATAACACGAGCAATTTTAACAGGCGATCCACTAACATGCTTGTAAGCTTTTGTATTAGCAACAGAGAGTTTAGGAAACTCACGTTTTGAAGCCAAGTTGATTTTCTCACTGGCATCATCAGTATAAAGTGGAAAGAAGATGCCGCTACGGGGTGATTTTTCAAATTTTATCTCATTTTTAGGGATTGGTATTGTCTTTAGTGTTGAACGATGCTGTGAACCAGGTGTTTCGCTGCTTCCAACGTTGCTGCTGGGATGTGTGCTTTTTTCCGAGAGTCCACCGTCTCCTCCTCCAAGCCGATATCCCTTTCCACTAAAAGGCATCAGATCCTGCGTATCACGCGTTTGTGTCTTACCTGCAAAATGAGAAGAAAGTAAGAAAAGTTAGTAACTTTTTCATATATAAATCATGGGCTTAGTATATTATGTGCACTGGCTAAAAAAATCTGCTTGAAAACAGCGTAGCAAACTAAACCTTTGGTAAACAAGTTGAGAAGGAGCCTAGAAATGCACAAACAAAATGGGCCCTGTTCTTTGCTACATAACAGTAATATCGAAACAAAACTCATGTAGTGGTTGATCTGTATTTGTTAAGGAACTATCTGGACAAAAACAGTTTGGAAAAGAAAAAACCCCACAATTATTTTAAATACCTTTGTTAGTCAACTTGGAATTTGGAAGTTTTGCTGGCTGGGTTTTCTCCTTGGATTTTTTAGAGAAGTTTTCTGGCTCCTTTACTTTTGTGAATGTACCACCACACGTCTCTTGATGCTGAACCCACCAAAAGTCTCGTGCAGAGGGTGCTCTATTCATTGAACGTTTCACATATCCAAAGTAAGGTTTTCTATTTCGACAGGGGCCATTGCATCGCCACCAGTGCTGGCGGTACAGATCTACCTCATCATGAAAAGTATGATAGATCTAGGGGAAAAAAAAAAAAAAAGCAGTCATTCCAAAAAGGTCTAATTTAAAAGAAATCACTAGCTCTGCAATATTTTTGGTTTTAATACATTACCCTTCCATTACTGCTGTGTTTTTTACATTACCAGCTAGAAGAGCTAAAACCTGGGTGAAGTCTGATCAACATTTAAATACCATTAAAACAAAGCTTTAAAAAACCCCAAACAGATAGGATGTATAGGAGTATGTCTTGGCTATCTTGTTTGAACCGCAATAAAATATCTTTAAAAAGCTATCTACAGTTTCACCCTAAACGGCATACTGTTTAGAATGCGTTGTAAACAATACCAGTATTTTATTCTCCCTCCAGCTATTACTTTAATTGATCTTATCAGACACGTTATTTTAAAATATCATCAACACATTTGCCTCTACTCATATAAATCTTACCTAAAACAGACTGCTTTTTCTCAAATATTACTCTGAACATGGAGCTATTCTGTCCTTGGTATCACTAAGTTGTTTCAAGTTTAAAACAAAAGTTAAAAATAAAATACTCAGAGGGTATACTTGAAAATTATGTGACTCTTAATAGCTCACCACATCTTCCTCAACCTGTTCCCACCATCACCCCCAACAAAATAACTATGGAACTGGCATACACTTGGATGCAAACTTGTGTTGCTGCCAACTGTGGAGTGTCTAACAAGAACAAGTATATTACTCATGCCATTCCAGGCATACTAAAAAACCAAAACAGGAAGAAACCTCTTTTAAATTAGGTTAAGTGGATTATGCTTACTGTGACATTGGCTCCAGTCAAGCGATTAATGCGACGCATGTGTTTGCAGAACTCTGGTCCATGAGATTCACGATCTTTGTCATTATTAGTAACAAAAAGCAGGGCATGGATCATTTCATGCAACAGTGTCTGAAATGATGCAAATCATTAGGTATTTACTGAAAAGCATTATATAGTTTCAAAATTAAGCTGGAAGTATTTTACTCCTCTACGTTTATCTTGGTACTGATCTTTTTTTCATGCATTCACATGCTCAGTCTGGGTCATAAAAACATAATACTTATTCTGCCTGTCAAACCCCTATTCCCATACCACCAGAAGACACCACAGAATATTACTACAATAAATGACATTCCAAGAAGGAGAAATAATCCTCAAACTTAAGTCAGATCTTAAAAGAGATCATCCCCTCTACAACCCAAGAAAAGACACACTTGTGAGAAAGTTGAAACTCTACAGCATTTCTGTTCACTACGCAAATCCAAATGGTGAGCCAGCTCAAAGGAGCAGCCTTGACAGAGGCACAAGAAACAACACAAAGTTGCGTTTACAGTCATATCCTATACCCTCATTTTCTGCTGTTGGCCTTTTGAGCTAAAAGATGAAACTACAGCCATTTTCTGATGGTGCTTTCAGTCCATGTTTGTTTTAACATTAGAGGATAATTTAAGAGCAAAAAAGTTGGGCTTTTTTTTTCTTTATGAAGTCAGTAAAATAATCAAGTGACTTTAGACTCCTACTCAGAGTTGCCCATTTAGAAACATAAAACTGAAAGATTAACATGATACTGCAACACAAGCAACACAAACATAACAATAAAGCCACGCTATTTTACAATCTGTAAGTCACTGCGTATAAGAATCCCACTATGAAATCTAAAATGTTTGTATGGAGTAGGGGGGGTAGCACAATACATTTTATGTGCAGATTCATGAGCAGTCTTCAAATACCTCAACGAGATCCTTCCTCGGTCTTAGCTTTAGGAGCGGCTCACTTAGACGAATGGAACACATCCCACCTTTTCCTTCATATCTACACACTCCAGCACAGCTGAAAGACACGCAGAAAGAAAATATAAAAAGCTACTTGATTTCTGTCGTACATTAAGAAAATTGAGAACTGGAGTTAAAACACCATCCCCTTCCAACATATGCCAGGTAATTCAGAACACAAAAAACCACTTTCAGTAGTTATATGAAAACCTCAACATTATTAAATGAACAAAAAACCAAACCCTGCAAGTTCCTTAGAATATGCTGTGACTGAACTAGCAAAGTGAATCTATAATTTACCAGATCTCTTGCAATCACTTAATTCAACACTAGCAAGCCTCTTTAAAAAAAAAAATCACGATGGACTGCTCCAATCTAAACTGTTTAGGAGGCAGAGGACCATTTTCATTAGAAGTCCTGATGGAGCGAGATACATAAAACAGAAGCTGGAGATTCACAGCAGCCAACACTGACTTAACTGCTGGTTGCCGCAATTTCACCCCTCCCCCAACTTTTGACTCTTCCTGAACCTTCACATATCATCACTTTTGCATGCTATCCACTAGAAAAGACTTCTTTTTTTTTTTGTTACTGAGTTAGTCCTCTACCAGTTCAGCATCCAAATATTTTTAAGTGTCTAAAGAGTACCGCAACAGCAGAGGACAAGAAGGGCAAGGACTCCAGCAGCCAGCAATTGCATCAGCTGATCCGCTGCAGAACTGCAGCCTGCACTTGAAAGCCTTTTTTTTTTTTTAAATCTCAGATTTCCTGCATACTCCCCTTCCTATTCTATACTAAGTCTTGTTAACATACTATTATCATTTCATATTTGCCTTTCTGCCATATTGTAAAACTATGATAAAAACCGAGAACAAGAAAAATGACAGCAATACAAGCATGTTCTTTTAAGTTTCCACATGCACCGTTTAAGACCAAGTTATTTATCCCACTTTAACATCTCTCCAGTTTTGCCTGCACCACGGGAAAAGCCACTTATGACTGCCAAGGACGACAAACGAAGGCCAAACCAGACAATGGCAGTGACTAACCCATGCCCTATGTTAGAAAAGGAGGACACTCCGGATCTGGAAGAGCAGCAGTGCCACTCGCACACCGTGCCTACGAAGCCGCGCTCGGGAGCGGCACAGAGCGACAAGTGACAGCGCTCCCCCCGCCCCGCTCCCTAAAGACCGGAGCCATACGAAGAGACGAGCCTTGGCTCATCTGACGGGTCGCCGCCTCCCCCCACAGCCCCGCACGCTGCC